GTCATGATGTGAAGAAACTAAAGTTTCATGGTGGAGTAGAGGGCATTGCCGAAAAGCTCTCCACATCAACCGCCAAAGGACTAACTGCTGATACCGGTTTGTTGAATAAAAGGCAAGTGATTTATGGAATCAATAAGTTTGCTGAGGCCGAAGCTAAGGGATTCTGGGTTTTTGTTTGGGAAGTTCTTCACGATATGACCCTTATGATCCTCGGGGTGTGCGCTATCGTCATTGGCCGTTGGGATAGTGATGGAAGGTTGGCCGGACGGAGCTCATGATGGACTCGGGATCGTCGTGAGTATTTTATTGGTTCTGTTTGTCACGGCGATGAGCGATTATCGCCAATCTCTGCAATTCAAGGATTTGGACAAGGAGAAAAAGAAAATCACCATTCAGGTAACAAGAAATGATTGTAGGCAGAAAATGTCTATATATGAATTGCCTCCTGGTGATATTGTACACCTTAATATTGGTGATCAAGTCCCTGCTGATGGTCTTTTCGTCTCGGGATTTTTGGTGCTAATCGATGAATCAAGTTTAACAGGGGAGAGTGAACCGGTATTTGTGAATGATACAAACCCTTTTATGCTTTCTGGTACTAAGCTTCAAGATGGATCATGCAAGATGCTGGTTACCACTGTTGGGATGAGGACTCAATGGGGTAAATTGATGGCAACCCTCAGTGAAGGTGGAGATGATGAGACACCGCTGCAGGTGAAATTGAATGGAGTAGCAACCATTATAGGGAAGGTAGGCCTGTTTTTTGCTGTAGTGACTTTTTCTGTAATGATTCAAGGACTGGTAGTGAATAAAGTGCAAGAGGGGACTATATTGAGTTGGTCAGGCGATGAGTTACTGAAACTGCTGGAGTTCTTCGCTGTTGCAGTGACAATTGTTGTTGTTGCAGTTCCAGAGGGTCTACCATTGGCAGTGACTCTGAGCCTTGCTTTTGCCATGAAGAAGATGATGAATGATAAAGCACTAGTTCGACACCTTGCGGCTTGCGAAACTATGGGGTCAGCAACAAGTATTTGTAGCGATAAAACTGGGACACTAACCACAAATCGCATGACGGTCGTGAAATCATGCATTTGCATGAATGTCAAGGAAGTAAGTAAAGTTGATAAAGCTTCTTTCTGCTCTGACATTCCAGAATCCGCTGCAAAACTTCTGCTACAATCAATTTTTCTGAACTCCGGGGGTGAAATAGTTATCAGCAAAGACGGAAAACGTGAGATATTAGGAACTCCCACAGAGACTGCTTTATTAGAGCTTGGCTTGGCTCTAAGTGGAGATCCCCAAGCAGAACGACAAGCATCAAAAACTGTTAAGGTTGAGCCATTCAACTCAACAAAGAAAAGGATGTGTGTAGTCCTGGAGCTTCCTGGAGCATCATTACCAGCACATACTAAAGGAGCTTCGGAGATAGTGTTGGCTGGATGTGACAAGGTGATCAATTCTAATGGACAAGTTGTTCCCTTGGATGACAAATCCAAGAACCACCTCAATGATATAATAAATCAGTTTGCTAATGAAGCTCTCCGAACCCTGTGCCTTGACTATATGGAACTTGAAAAAGGTTTCTCCCTGGACAGTGCTATTCCGGTTTCGGGGTATACTTGTTTAGGAATCATGGGCATTAAAGATCCTGTTCGCCCTGGTGTCAAAGAATCTGTTGCTACTTGTCGTACCGCCGGCATTACTGTAAGAATGGTTACCGGAGACAACATAAACACTGCAAAGGCCATAGCCAGGGAATGTGGAATTCTTACAGATGATGGTGTAGCCATTGAGGGTCCGGATTTCAGAGAGAAGACGCAGGAAGAAATGCTTAGTTTAATTCCTAAGATTCAGATATCCTCCAAATTGTTGTTCTTTGCTTCACATACCAGTCAGGTGCTTGTAACAAGGATAAATCATGTCTTTATATACCTCAATTTAACTTTCTTTTGCTGGTGATAGCTCGATCTTCTCCTATGGATAAGCACACTCTGGTAAAGCAACTACGAACCACGTTCGATGAAGTTGTTGCTGTGACTGGTGATGGAACGAATGATGCCCCAGCTCTACGTGAAGCAGATATCGGGTTAGCAATGGGAATTGCTGGAACTGAGGTCAGCAATGCATTAAATTTTCACATTGTGCATGCATCTTGTACCAGTCAAATGAAGAAGATCCAACTAATCTTGCGTTTAATTCCAGGTGGCCAAGGAGAGTGCTGATGTCATAATTCTGGATGACAATTTCACTACAATTTTGACAGTGGCCAAATGGGGCCGTTCAGTATACATAAATATTCAAAAATTTGTGCAATTTCAACTGACTGTCAACGTTGTTGCCTTGATTGTTAACTTCTCCTCAGCATGTTTGACAGGTTAGAAAGGGATATATTTGCATACTCATATTTCAAACTTATGTCCTAACTTTCTTTGTGAATGATGATAATTTTTTATTTGTACTCGTATTGAACTTAAATTTTCTGATTCCACCCGTCTCTTACCATATGTCGGACATGTATATCAAATACAAGTAATAAAAAATGGAAAAGTCTGAACAACATATTTTCTTATGCTGCAGGGAGCTCTCCTCTGACGGCTGTTCAGCTACTGTGGGTGAATATGATTATGGATACTTTGGGAGCACTTGCACTTGCAACCAAGCCGCCAACCGATGAACTGATGAAGCGTTCACCGGTAGGAAGGAAAGGAAATTTTATCAGTAACGTCATGTGGAGGAACATATTTGGGAAATCTTTCTATCAGTTGGTGGTAATATGGTGTCTACAGGCAAGAGGAAAAGCATTGTTTAATCTCGACGGCCCTGATTCTACTCTGATATTGAACACACTTATTTTCAATTCATTTGTCTTCTGTCAGGTAAACCTTTTTTTATCAAGAACTCCTTCATACTCTTCAATATATACTATCACACAGTTACCAGAAGGCGTTGGAGGTATAATCAGAGACAGAAGCTAGAAGTTTGCTTGAACTCTAACTCGATCTAGTATTTTTTTTAAAGTTCGAGTTCATTTCGAGATAAAGATCAAACTGTTTGAACACATTTGATTATGCTCGTTTACTTAGTAAAATATACGAGTTTCTTGATCTTTAGCTTTCCCACTTTTGTTTTGTTTTTCTTTCCCCAACAGGTTTTCAACGAGATAAGCTCACGAAATATGGAGGAAATAGATGTTTTCACCGGCATATTAAATAACTACGTTTTCCTGGCTGTTCTTGGCTGCACTGCATGTTTCCAAGTCCCCATCATCGAATTTCTGGGTGCATTTGCTAGCACAACACCGCTCACTTGTACGCAGTGGTGTGTAAGTGTCCTCATCGGGTTCATAGGCATGCCGATTGCTGCCGGTTTAAAGATGGTGCCGGTGTGAACCCTACAAAAAAAACCATGGCAGATATGTTGGTTTGTGAAGAACATTAACAAAACCTTTAAATGCCCTTTGTGGTGTAAGACTCTCTAGTGACTATGAACCTTTTGGTCTTCTGTTTTCTTCTTTCAAGACAATTCGCCTGAGTTTCTTGCCATTAAAATGGTAAATAGAGGGTTTGTGATCAAGAATCTCCATGATCAAGTCTTTTTCCCCTTAAATATTTTTGTTTTTATAGGCCAAGCAGTAGGTTGGTTCTTATATTTTTGTAATTGCTCTTGATTTACTTGTATTTGGGTAAGTGTCGTATGCTTGTATATGTCATTTGCCAGACACGAACATTCTTATTTTTCCCCCATGTTTGTGGAATCATATTCCATTCTCGGTCCTGAATTTGTTTATAGTTTCAATTTATTTATTTATTTAATGTTTTTTTAAACATTTATCTTGAATTTATTATTTGGAAAAATTTCTAAATAATACACATACTATACAAATTTTAATTTACATAAGTCTATCTATTTTATGGGCACGTAGACATTAAATAACTAGTTAAATACGATTACATGTCATAAAATCTTATTCAAACCCTTGTTTGTTCTTCGGAGCACTTATTTTTACTCCGATGCCCCTGATACTTGATAGGGATGATTGTTTTTTTCTCTAACGCCAATGGCTGTATTTCTCTAATACTTTCTCTCTCAACATGAGTGCACTTTCATGCCCTTGATAGAAATATTTTTACACGAAACATAATAGTAAGTACAAAAAATTTAATGATTTACTTATCAACGGTCAATGGCGACGAATGATGATCATCAGTGACAGTGGTGAGTGACAGCTAGTGATAAAAATTTTAGTTAAATTCAGGGGTTAAATTGATATTTTATCTAAAGACTAATGGTTAAAATGATATTCCATCTAAAGTTTAAAGTCAAAATAATATTAAATCTAAAGTCTAATGGTCAAATTAAAAATTAATCTCTTTTGATTGATGTTTATATCATCAAAACTGACAAACATTAGTGATCTAGTGGTCAAACTATAATAATTGATAATATAAGTAGTCAAAAATTAATAAAATAATAATATAAATAATTAAAATTTATTTTTTATTTTAGTGAACAGAAATATACAAATATAAAAGAAAAGTTACCCGTAATATTTTCATAAATGGAACCAACCTAATCGAATGTGACACCTAATCCGAATGGGTGCGATTGCATTAAAACTCCAAAAGCACAAATGTCCAAGTTCGAACCAACCAATGAGTTGTCGGCACTACTGGTCCAATCTTTCGTCAAAAAGGGTTAGCCTCTCGACCTCTCTTCCAGCACACGCTACCTTTATAAAGTAAAAAAACGTGACCAAACCGAATCCATTCCCGGTTCTCAATCACGTGAGAAATGGGCCAGTCTCTCGGTGGTGTGGTCCAGGTCCAGCCAGACAGCCAACCTCCATGCTCGAGTACACCGAACCCTTTTGTCCCAATGGGACCAAAACCCGAGCAAGATATGGTTAGTGTCAGACCTATCGCCCAACAAAACAGACAAAAGCGGGAAAAACTTGAATTAACGCAAACGTTTTTCTAGGGTTGCTCAAAGGAAACGTTTTTGGCTTTTAAAATCTTGGTTTCTCTAGGGTTGTTCAAAGGAAACGTTTTTCTTTTTCTTCTTTTAGCGGCTATGGAGGAAGTGAGATAAAGCTCTGCTTGGGTGGCTCGTAATTCTTCTCACGTCACCATTGATTCTTCAGGTTTCTCTCTCTCTCTCTCTCTCTCTCTCTCTATATATATATATATATATATATATATATATTACTCTGTTTTTTATTGAGAATGTGGGGTTCATTTTTCTACTTTAAAAGACTATGATTGTGGGGTTTTTTTTCTGGAGTGCAGGGATTGAGAAAGAAGTGGAGAAAATGAAAGAGTCGATTCCCAAAGTGAAAAGGGATTACGAAGGGATTCATTATTTTGACAATGGGCCCCTCACTGTACAATACCTTTTTGTTTTGGATGCTTTGAATTTCTGTTTTTGGCCTGGTATCTTCCTTTTATCTATTTTTTTTTATATTTTAAATACCAAATCCCTTTCTGGGTTTTTCTTTTTGAAACTAAAGTTTACTTTTTTTTTATTGGTTGGTCGTCTTTGTTAAATCATCATGCTTTTGTTTTTGTTGTTTAGTGGTGAATAGTTCTGAGACGTCTTTGAAATCCCAGTTTTTAATTTGATATGGGATTTGATTGCTAAATTTTTGTGGATTATGATTAATGATTGTGTTTTGACTTATTGTAATCTGTCTCTGCAAAAATGAAATTCTCTTCCATTGTCTATAAGGGATTAATGATAAGCAAAACATTTGTTATTGGCATTAATGTGTTTTAGGGCTCTAACCTGACATTTTTTCCTTGTGTGTTGGTGTTACTCTTGTTAGATAAGGATTTAAATTATGATCATTTGGCCAAGGGATTAAAGGATACTTTGCTGAATTGTTAGAAGTCAAACTCTTGGAATTGTGTACAAGTTCAACGTGGCAAATGAAGATAGATTCACAAGTAAACAAAACAAAGTGGAAATGCTTGGCAGTACACTAAACCACACATGCATATGTCGGCAAAGATTTTTCTTTAATTGTTTGAATTCACACGGCAACATGTTAAGCAAGAATTAGGGAGAGAAGTTGAGAAGCATCCAAAGGTCCTCAAATAAGTCGGTTATACAACCTATATATATGTGTGCTTAGCCTTTAGTTGGTGTGAAGTAGTGAGCGTGAATAAAAAAGTGAGTGAGCGTAAATACGATTGAGGAGTGAAAAAATAAAGAGATTTGAGAGATATATTGTGAAGCTTAGCAAAGCTTTAAATATATTGGTGAGTTTGTAAACTCATCATGCTTTTGTTTTTGTTGTTTAGTGGTGAATAGTTCTGAGACGTCTTTGAAATCCCAGTTTTTAATTTGATATGGGATTTGAATGCTAAATTTTTGTGGATTATGATTAATGATTGTGTTTTGACTTATTGTAATCTGTCTCTGCAAAAATGAAATTCTCTTCCATTGTCTACAAGGGATTAATGATAAGCAAAACATTTGTTATTGGCATTAATGTGTTTTAGGGCTCTAATCTGACATTTTTTCCTTGTATGTTGGTGTTACTCTTGTTAGATAAGGATTTAAATTATGATCATTTGGCCAAGGGATTAAAGGATGCTTTGCTGAATGACATCTCTGCTTTGGATGCCGATCGTCTGCAAAAATACACTGGTAATTCTGTTTCGTCTCGAACTTTCGGTCTTCTCTCATCTTCATTGAAAAGCTTGCTCTCGGAATTCGAAAACACATCCTTGGACACATTCATTTATGTGTATCTGTTGACATGTTCTCATATTAATAAGTAGCGTTGTTTGTGTTTCACACCATCATAATTCATAACCTTCACATCATTTCGTTAGCTCCTCATATCGATAGGAAACGATGAGCTGATCTTTGTTTTTCAGGTCCTCAACTGGGCGAGCTATTGAAATGGCCTCGACCATTTCCTTTAGAGGAGGAACGGGTTCGTTTGTTGCATGAGGTGTAGTATATTTTACTAATCGCTGCAGGTTTTTGTCTTGTTTTAGTATTCGAATTCCATAGATAGTAAGGATGGTATTGCTTTGTTAACAGGCTTATTCTACCCTGCAATAAGTTGTTCGATTTCATTAATTTTCATTATAAAAGTATTCATAATTTTCTAACTAATCTAAGGCTTAATGCAAAAATAAATACTTAGAGTATATTTAAAATTAATTTTAGGTATTTAAAGATTTTATTAAAAATAAGTGTTTAAAATTTTTTACATTATATATTTATGTACATCAATTGTGACGGTCATTAAATTTAACCTTTATATACTAATATTAGACTTATAAAATTTTATTTGAAATTTACTTAAATTTATTATTTTAAAAAGAACACAATATAATCTAAAATTATAAAAAAAATCAAAATCTCTGAAACTCTAATTCCCGAACCCCCTACAAATAATTTCAGTGATCAAGTAATGATTCCTTTGGTAGTGTGTTGGACTCCAATTAAATAGACTGTCCAATAACAAATAATGGTTGCATTTAACGATAATTATAATTTAAATACTTAAAAATATAATGTTAAAAACGTTAGACGTTTATATTTTAATAAAAAAAATTAGACACGCCAAATTATTTTTAACACAGTTAGAATGCTTATTTACATTAAACCTTAATCTAATACCGTCTTGGATTTTCCCTTTTATCTAACATCCATTTCCCTTGCCATTGCCGAACCTAAAATCTAAAACTAGAATCGTTTAACTTTGAAGGGCTTTTGTCTGCGGAAAAGATGCGGGAAGTACATTCAAGAAACAGAGAAATGGCAGCAATCAGATACCCGAAACACTCATGTTTCGAAATCTTACATGAATCCAAAAGGAAGGAAACACGAAAAAAGAAAGAGAAAATAATCTCAATGATCGAAAATACCTTATAATATATGATTTTAACTAAATTTTTTTTATTTACCAAAATGATCAACAAAATCGCAATGCGATCTCTAAATCGCAACGCGATCTCCAGTATCGCAAATCAGTTTCCAGATTCGCAACGCGATTTTGACTATCGCAATGCGAATATGTAAATCACAATGCGAATATGTAAATCGCAACGCGGTTCTGACTATCGCAATGCGATTTTCAAAGCGTCATTAGTATTGCAACGCGTATTTTATTTTCAAATTTCAAACACGAATATCAATATATCCCGTAATTACAACTCATAACCTAAAACCCTAAATCACAACTCAGTCTCATCTCTATCTCACTCTCTACGACGACATCCGTCCCTATCTCCGGCGAAATTCGTCTATCTCCATTTCACTTAGATTGCTTATTAAATTCATTCGATTGCTGCTAATACTGTTAAACTGTTTAGTCTTTAACCCTGTGAAGTTAGTATTTGTCTTTGTTTTATCTTTTGGTTGAAGTAATGCAATTCATTCAAGTTTCAATTTTCAGAATAAGAATAGTTTTTGAAACTTAAATTCGCAACACAAAAATGAAAATCGCAACTGGTCAATACGAGTATTGACCAATATCAAAATCATTACATGCAGGGTCTGTTTCTTCTTCTGAAACATCATCAAAATCCGAGTATTGACTAAGATCAAAGTTCGGATATTGACCAAGATCAAATTTTGAATACTGACTAGTACTCACAATTTTTTTCTGTTGGCTCATAATCGTCTAACTGGTAAATACAAAAATCGGAATTTGGTGCTAAAAGTTGATTGAGATTTGGATTAGGAAAAGGTTGTGGGTTTTGATATTGTGTTTGGTATTGGAAATGTGGTGAAACAAAATTTTCTTGGTGATGAAATTGTGGTGGAACCATTAAATTTTGAGATTGATAACAACATTGTATATTGTGAGTACCATAAACTGGGGTTGAAGAACTTAGTTGATTACTACCCGCTACTGACCCAACTTCACTACTTCTAGGTTTAACAACATACAATGTAACTTTATCTTCTTGCGAAACACTAATGTAAGCAATGAATCGTTCAACATCTTCATTGTCAGTCAACAAATAAACTTTACATTTTCTCTAATAAGATAGCCTAAATCCACTTAGAGGCTCTAAATTCAATTTCTTTGCAACACATAACATTAGAGTTTCATAAGTTAACTTTTTTAATGACAGTTTTAGTTGAAGATTCATGGGTAAAGGCACATATTGTAAAACACCATGAACATTCTCTCATGACCCTCCAAAACACAAATCTATCCAAACATGATCAACATTAAATGATTTCATTCTACAAATTGTAAATTAATTTCCTAAACAAACGAGCTATAAACTACATATCATCACTAACTTAGAGAAAAACATACATTTATTAAGTTGATAGTTGATAATTTTGGAGAGAAATCATTGAAATTTGCGTTGCGATTTTCTCGTTGTGATTTTCATTTCGCATTGCGATAGTCAAATTCGCGTTGCTATTGTCATTTTCGTGTTGCGATTTTCATTTTCGTGTTGCGATTTTAAGTTTCAGAAACTATTCTTCTTCTGCAAATTGAAACTTGAATGAATTGCATTACTTCAACCAAAAAACAAAGACAAATACGAAATTCACAGTGTTGCAAATTTAAGTTTGAAGAATAAACTACTACTACTCTTTATGTTTATTATTGTTTTTGGTATATCTTTACAGTGTAGTTTTTGGTATATCTAACTTGGTATATTTATTGTTTTTGTAAAACTTTTTTTCGGCTCAATTGACCTTAAGGAATAAAATAAGCCTAGTCACTACAATTGCGTCGAAGCTTTCACCTGTACAAAGAAAATTGTTTGAGGATACTTGCTTCGGGCCATGGCTGAAAGTACAACATCCGGGTGGAGATGCTATGTTGACCCATCTGTTTCTTCAAACCATAACTAGCGATCTACCAGAGACTATAGAATGTCGTGATGAAGAGATATGGTTTGATTTTTCACCGGCGTATACGTGTTTTAGGCGGGAGGAGTTTTGCTTATTCACTGATCTACGCTTCGGACACGATGATGTAGATCGGTACACTAGACATATTACCCGCCTATCATGGTTTTCCCGGGTTTTTCCTGAGCAGTCAACGGAGAAGTCGAATTTACACATGGAAGACTTGACGAGATTATTGAATAAGAAAGATGGTTTTACTCGGATGGATGACGTCGATGTTGTCCGAGTATGCCTTCTAATACTTTTGCAAGCCGACTTTTTAGGCAGAGAGGCCCGACAACCAATTCATAATGATCTAGTTAAATTGCTAGAGGACCTAAATGCATGGAACCTGTTTCCGTGGGGTTCGTATCTATGGAGAGCTACATGGAATAAGTTGTCGTATGCCTTTAATGATCGGAAAAGTTTGCGTGGCGATGGTTCCAAATACACTTTGTCAGGCTTTATTTGGGCCTTTAAGGTAATAATTTCTATATAATGTTTCCAAAATTATAATTAATTATTTAACAATTACTAATGTTTGTGTATTATATTGTTTGTAGATTTGGATATTTGAGGCTTTTCCCGGCATGCAGACATATGTATTAAAAACTTCAAATGATATTCCTAGGGTTATTTCCTAGAAAAGGAAACGGTGGATGCTGGATTGGGAAGAGTTACTACGGTATACAACAATAAATGATATAAGTTAACACAAATACTATCATATATAAACAAGTTATTACTAGTACACGTTTAACTTTGTTTGAGCTTTTTATATTGTTAGGAGGCCAACACTTCATTACAAAGGCTGACACCCACGGAGGCTGAGCTTGCCACTGATTGGTGGCAAGCTAGTAAGCGTTTTTTTTATGGCACGGATGATGAGCAGCTTCCACTTCGAGAGCCATCACCTCACCTAGAGCCATCACCTAATCGACCACACTATACACCTCTACAACGAGCGCCATCACCTATTTCGTCACATCATCGAGCCTCTTCTCCACCATCACCTCATGATAGGCGACCGGTAAAGATGCCACGACATTTATCTCTTTGTTCTCCACCTCCACGAGATGAGTTAGGGGAGTTACGTGATGAGGTCAATACCTTGCGTGAGGAGGTCGGTACTTTACGCGATGACAATGGTGCATGGCGTGATGAGGTATCTACTTTACGTGGTGAGGTAGCCGCTCTACGTGAGATGGTAGCATCGTTGCATAATGAGGTTCATACTATACGCAATGAGGTAAGTTTAAGATTTTTCATATTTAACTTGATTTACTAGTAATTTTACTTAAATTAACCATTTCACTTAGATTGCTTAGTAAATTCATTCGGTTGCTGCCAATACTGCTAAACAGTTCTAAAATAACCCTTTGAAGTTAGTATTTGTCTTTGTTTTGTCTTTTGGTTGAAGTAATACAATCCATTCAAGTTTCAATTTACAGAAGAAGAATAGTCGCAATACGAAACTTAAAATAGCAACGCGAAAATGACTATCGTAATGCGGAAATGACTATCGCAACGCGAATTTGACTATCGCAATGGGATAATCGCAATGCGAAATAAAAATCGCAACGTGAAAATCACAATGCAAAAATGAAAATCGCAACGCGAATTTAGTTTCGCGTTGCGATTTTTATTTTGCATTGCGATTATCTTGTTGCGATAGTCAAATTCGCGTTGCGATAGTCATTTTTCGTGATGCGATTTTAAGTTTCGTGTTGCGATTTTAAGTTTCAGAAACTATTCTTCTTCTGCAAATTGAAACTTGAATGGATTGCATTACTTTAACCAAAAGACAAACACTAACTTCACAGTGTTGCAAATTTAAGTTTCAAGAATAAACTACTACTCTTTATGTTGTCATTGAACATGCACTAAATCTATATGTTGTCCTTTTAAATGTTTATATAAGTGCTTACTTCTGGAATGTTATCTGATGCATTTTGTGAACTATGATAGAATAATGACTTGGGTGAATACCGTGCAAATTTGAAACATGTTTGTCTTTGTTTTCACTGTTTAATATCATGTCTGTTTATTTACTGATTTATGTATTAATTTATTTTTAGCGGCCCGATAAGGTGGATGCTTTACGTCGGGTTTTTCTTGCACGATGGGATTCACGCATCAGACGGCGTGCACGTGCCATTACGTCTCTGTTCACCCCAATAGTGCGAAGACTCCGTAAGAAGCCCGACTCACCTGTCATCATTCAAGAGGCCTCTCCTATCGTT